CATATATCCCATCCCTGCTGAATACACATCCCAAATATACGAACTCATCCACTTGCTCAATTAACTCTCCTTCTATTCTTATTTCACATACCGTTTTGCTTTCTTCTCTTTCAAAAACCATCACTTTCGTCTTACTTGCATTCACTTTCATTTCCCTTTATTTTAATGACATGTTCATTAAAATAACCATCATTTGCAACTCGGCCGCCGACGACGCAAGTATGACTTAATCATCGGCGTACAAAAGGCATTTGATGGTTAACTCAACCATTCTTACCCGCATTCTTCAACTTTCAAATTTTCCAAACAACTGCCCATAAATAGGTTGAACAGCCACGGCCCTGTCACCTTTGACTTTGACACCTTTATGGATTCCAAACCAGTCCGAGTAGGTCCCGTTGATCCTAACACAAGCACTCGAGTCCCTATACAGAGACTTTAATGCCTGTATTAAACCAGCGCTCAACCTAAATGAGTTCAGCGTTTGCCATAACACATCCCTGTCCACTCTGTCATAAGCCTTTTCCAAGTCCATGAACGCACAAAACCTTTTTTGGTTTTTCGCCAAAACTTCCCCGCGATCACGCGCATGGAAAAGACTTGATCTGTACACCCCATTCCCTTTCTAAATCCCGCTTGCACCTCCCAATTTTTTTTCATCAGTTTCTTTCATAACTCTTTCAATTAGTACCTTAGCATACAGTTTTCCCACAATGCTAAGAAGGCTGATACCACGGTGTTTTTGCAGTCCTGCTGTGACCCTTTTCCCTTATATATTGGGACTATCACGGCTTTGCACCAGTCTCCCGGTACCCGCTTTAGTTCCCAACATAAATTAAATAAGGTTTACAGCAGGCCTGCCACCAATTCCTCTCCAGCCCTTAGCATTTCGAGTAAAACTCTATCATATCCGGCTGCCTTACCTAATTTCATGCTTTTCATTGCTTTCATTATTCCATCTATACTTATCTCCCTATCTCTTTCATCTTCTTTCGAAATTTCTATTTCATTTAGTTCACACGTCTCCTCACTCATAAATACGCTTTCTAAATATTCCTTCCATCTCTTTAGACTCAACACTTCATCATTCACAATACAGCCATTCTCGTCTCGTATTGCATTCAATCTAGGCTGTTTTTAATGTCCCCTGGTATTTCTTACGAGTTTCCAGAACATTTTAATATTTGCCTGGAAGTTACCCGATATTCTTCTTTTATTCTTATCCGTTCTTTCTTGCTTTTTCCTTTCAACTATTTCTTTTACTCTCTTATTTAGACGTTTAAACTCTGCCTTTTTTCTTTCAATCTCATCATTTATACTGCCAGAATTACCAGTTTTATTTGCTAGTAAATCAAGCCATGCTTTCTTCCTTGCTTCAACTTCCATACGTACCTCATCATCCCACCATAACGTATTGTATTTCCTTTCATTCGTTCTCTTACTAACACCACATACTTCGGTAGCTGCATCCACTAAACCTTTCTCAACATTATGCCACACATTCTACAAGTCACACAATTCACAGTTATGGAATCTGTCATGCTTCTATCATCATCTCTTTCCCAAGTATACATATGAATCTTCTTATGGCGATAGAAAGTGTTCGACACAAAAATATACCTTTCACATACGGTGAGGAGGCTTTCACCATTCTAATTAATACTTTCGTCACCAAAAGTTTCCAGTATCCTTTCATAGCCAAGCCTCCTCACCCCAACCCTTCCATTAAAATCTCCTAACATAACAATATTTTCATTTTGCTTACATTTCAAAAACTGCTCTCGGATATAAGTGGGCTCTGACATGTCTGGGGCATAGACCCCTAGAACAAACAACTTCTTTAGGCCCACTTTTATTCGTATCTATAGCAGTCTCGGGCTTACACATTCATACTCTTTCACACATTGACCCATTCTGTTTGAAAGTATGATACCGACTCCCTGGCATGCCCGCTCGGTCTCGTCTACACCGGATCAGTAAGCGGTATATACGCCATGTGTAATGACATCCTTTCCCTTCCGCTTCGTCTCATTTAACCATAACATATCTCCTCTATCATAGTAGTCCTCTATCGTGTAGGTACATCATATCGCATACTTCATCCATCTTATCATTCATTGTTCCACATACATTCAGCGTAGCTAGACGGGCCTCCGAAATCCCCTTTCTTCTAAACCAATGATTTTTTCCTCCCAACAATCGACCCATCAATCGACCCAACAATCAAACCAACAATCTGTAACGCTTCCCCCTTCTCATAATAATAAATATGTATGATAGTATATATATATATATATATATATATATATATATATATATATATATATGTATGTGTGACCAGGATTAATAAAATATGTTTTGATCTTTCTAAAGGTTTAATAATAGGCCGTTTGTAATATTTTGGCGTGATCGTCTTAGTTAGGACCCTTATGTACGTTGTGTTTGTTTAGTAACTTAGTTCTTTTAGGTGTCTTTTGGAAGAATGAATATTCACTAGAGCAATTGAAAGCTGTTGGTAGTGTCTTATAAGCTAAGTGAACCCCGTTCACGAAGACAGGGCTCGAGAAAGATTAAGAACATAAAACGTCCCTATTCCACTCGTATCAGGTTCACATCATTAATTTATTATTAGTTATCCCTTCCCGCTCGGAAAGGCTCAAAATATATTTATACAAAATACTCGATACAAGGGCTTCGCTCTCCCACATTTATTTAAAAAAATTTAGGGGAGGCACGCGGCCCCACACACGCCATGCACGGTGAGTGTCGATTGTTGGGTCGATCGTTGGGTCGATAGTTGGGTCGATTGTTGGGACGATTGTTGAGTCGATTATTGGGTCGATTGTTGGGTCGATTGTTGGGTCGATTGTTGGGTCGATTGTTGTGTCGATTGTTCGGTCGATTGTATGGTCAATTGTTGGGTCGATTGTTCGGTCGATTGTTGGGTCGAATGTTAGGTTGATTTTTGGGTTGATTGTTGGGTCGATTATTGGGTCGATCTTTGGGTCGATTGTTGGGTTGATTGTTGGGTAGATTGCTGGGTCAATTGTGGGGTCTATCGTTGGGTCGATTGTTGGGTCGATTGTTACGTCGACTGCTGGGTCGACTGTTCGGTCGATTGTTGAGGCAATTGTTGGTTCGATTGTTGGATTGATTGTTGGGTCGATTGGTTGAGCGATTGATGGGTAGATTGTTGGCTCGATTGTTTGGTCGATAGTGGGGTCGATTGTTGGGTCGATTGTTGGGTCGATTGTTGGGTCGATTGTTGGGTCGATTGTTGGGTGGATTGTTGAGTAGATTTTTGGGTCGATTGTTGGGTCGATTTTTGGGTCGTTTGTTGGGTCGATTGTTGGTTCGATTTGTGACGGCCCAATATTTTTATTAATAATTAAATTCAATATAAAGGGGCGTCAAAAATAGTCTTAAATAAAATTACATTAATAAGCATAAAGTAAATATATATATAAAATACATTTCAGACATTAGACCAATAACATAGTACATTAAAGCCAAAATATTGGCTTTCATAATAAATATTTTTATTATAAAAACTTGTAAAAATATTTAAAACATGATAAACATTAGAAATACAAATCGAAAATATTATAAAAATAAAGATAAATAACGTTTATAAGATAATTAGAAAATTTGTTAAAAATTGTCTAAGTTGTGGAAGGAGTTCACGTATAAAAGAAAATTTTCCTAAGTTATGGAAGGTGTTCATGTATAGATGTCTTGTATAGAGGAGCTGCCGGAGATACATACCTGCAGTTGTACATATATATGGGGTGGTCGGGAGCCCGACTGCCTGAAGTAATGTAGCACAATGACTAGTCCTATATTAGGGACTTATGATATTAAACTCAATGATACAAAATCAATACCATAGAAGGTCTCCATGATGAATTTGCATTACAATAGTGGGGTCGTGGGTTGAAGTCCTATATATTAATGACTTATGACAGTGAGGTCTATGATACAAAAGCAATACTATAGAAGGTCTCTATGATACAAAAGCATTATTATTGAAGGTCTCCTTGACGCATAAGCATTGTATGGGGTGGTCGGGTGACCGACTGCTCCTAGTACTGTAGCAAAATGACTAGTCCTTATTAGAGAATTGAAAAGGAATATTATGGTGGCGTGTGTGCTGCTTCACGAGCAATTGGTCCGAGGTAAACTTGGACTCGCTAACCGATGTGTCCTAGACATATCATCTTAGTGCTGGTGGTAAGCGGGTTTGTTGTAGCAATACGGCTTTACCGTGGAAATCGCACACCCATACCGTTTGTGGGCGACGTCGTAGCGCATATCGATGCGTCGGTGTAACAGGCATACTAAACTTCATGTCTTAGTGCATTAGCGCTATGATACGTGGAGTTTTGTTCATTAGCGTTTTATTAGCGTGCTACTATGATACGTTGGTGATATTTTTATATAACAACAATACAAACTTTGTTACCAAAGTCGATAGGAATCATGTGGGTGTGTTGTGAGGGGGCGCCATCCGTATGATCGTTGCATTGATGCTTACTGCTACTTGCGGTATTGCGTCTTGTGATGGATCTGCGGGTGTGCTGCGCCTGATTCGACGCACTCTTGTGGTTCTGGTCGATGGAGGTATGCGGGTGGTGATGTCTGCTCTGCTCTGCATAAGCCCGACGATAGTCGTTATGGATAACTTAGGAAAATTTTCTTTTGTACGTGAACTCCTTCCACAACTTAGACAATTTTTAACAAATTTTCTAATTATCTTATAAAAATTATTTATCTTCATTTTTATAATATTTTCGACTTGTATTTCTATTGTTTATCATGTTTTAAATATTTTTACAAGTTTTTAAAATAAATTTATTTATTATGAAAGCCAATATTTTGCCTTTAATTTACTATGTTATTGGTCTAATGTCTGAAATGTATTTATATTAACTTTATGCTTATTAATGTAATTTTATTGCTTAATATATATCTTTTAAGACTATTTTTGACGCCCCTTTATATTGAATTTAATTATTAATAAAAATATTGGGCCGTCACAAATCGAACCAACAATCGACCCAACAAACAACATAACAATCGATCCAACAATCGACCCAAAAATCGACTCAACAATCGACCCAACAATCGACCCAACAATCGACCCAGCAATCGACCCAACAATCGACCCCACTATCGACCAAACAATCGAGCCAACAATCGACCCATCAATCGCTCAACCAATCGACCCAACAATTAACCCAACAACCGAACCAACAATTTCCTCAACAATCGACCGAACAGTCGACCCACCAGTCGACGTAACAATCGACCCAACAATCGACCCAACAATCGACCCTACAATCGACCCAACAATCGACGCAACAATCGACCTCACTATCGACCCAACAATCGAGCTAACTATCGACCTATCAATCGCTCAACAAATCTACCCAACAATCAACACAAAAATCAACCCAACAATCGAACCAACAATTGCCTCAACAATCGACCGAACAGTCGACCCACCAGTCGACGTAACAATCGAGCTGACAATCGACCCAACGATAGACCCCACAATTGACCCAGCAATCTACCCAACAATCAACCCAACAATCGACCCAAAGATCGACCCAATAATCGATCCAACAATCAACCCAAAAATCGACCTAACATTCGACCCAACAATTGACCATACAATCGACCGAACAATCGACCCAACAATCGACCCAACAATCGACCCAACAATCGATCCAACAATCGACCCAATAATTGACTCAACAATCGTCCCAACAATCGACCCAACAATCGACCTAACTATCGACCCAACTATCGATCCAACAAGCGACCCAACAATCAACCCAGCAATCATCCTAACGACCGACCAAACAATCAACCCAACAATAAACCCAACAATTAACTCAGCAACCGACCCAACAATCGACACAACAATCGATCCAACAATCAACCAAACAATAGAACCAACAATTTACCCAATAATCAACGCAACAATCGACCCAACAATCGACGCAACAATATACCTAACAATCGACCCAATAATCGACCAACAATCGACCTTTATTTATACTTGCTTAGGTACTTACTTATAAACATACTAATATACTTGCTTATGTACTTTCTTATATACTTACTTATATAATTGCTCTTATACATACTAATATACTTGCTTATATACTTATATACTTACATACTTATATATTTGCTTACATACTTACTTATATACTTGCGTATATACGTACTAATATACTTACTAAAATACTGACTTATATACTTGTTCTTTTACTTGCTTGTATACTTATTACTATATACTTGCTTATATACTTACTTATATACTTGCTGATTAACTCGCTCATACGCTTATATATACCTTCATTTATACTTCCAGATTTTCGGGAATAGAAATAAGAAACATACCTAAAAACAATGAAGAATCAAAAGAAAATCTATGTAGCACTGTTAAAAAATTAAGGGAGTGTTTGAATGTAAATTTGCAGGATTTGGACATAAAAGACGTGTATAGAACTAATTCTAAGACGGGGACTAGACAGATAATAGTGGAATTTAATTCTGTCATTATTAAAGAAAAGATGTTACATGAAGTAAAAAAAATTAATAAAACAAAACCAAAAAATTAGAAATTAAATACTTCGCATCTAAATTACTCACAAAAAAACATCAACAATTTTAACAATAAAAAAGGTAAAGAGAGATTATGAAAAAAAGCGAGTGAATATGGCTAAAAATAATAATAAGAAGTTATGGGAAGTACTTACTGATATTATAGGTAACGTGAAAAAGAAAGGGTAAAACAGAGAACTGTTAAATATATCTAGTACGCCGCAAATATCTGTTAACCTTATTAATAATTATTTTGTAAATGTAGGTAAAAGTTTGGCAGAGAGTTTTAAGGTAGGAAATAAAAACAGTGAAAGTTTTAATATTAACATTGGTGAAGAATCAAATTATTACTTAAATTCATTTGCTTTATTGGACACGGATGAAAGGTTAGTAGATCAATTATTTGACAATTTGAAAACCGACTATTCAGTTGGTTCGGATGGAATTTCGAATAAATTTATTAAAAATTTTAAATATTTGTTAATACCTCCTTTAACTTGTATATTCCATCAATGTTTAAATAATGGTGTATTCCCTAGATATCTTAAGAAGTCCGTAATTCGACCTATTTTTAAAGATGGTGAAAAAACCTGTTTAAGTAATTATAGACCTATCTCTATGTTACCCGCTTTATCCAAAATTTTAGAGAAAATTATAAATAATAGACTTACAAAATATCTGGAGAAAAATAATTTATTGTCAAATACGCAGTTTGGTTTTAGACATGGCAAAACAACAGAGCATGCCGTTCATACTCTTACAAATTTTTTGTCATCGTATTTAGACAGTGGAAAAAAGTGTATTTCTGTTTTCTTAGATTTGGCGAAAGCATTCGATACCGTGTCAATAAAAATACTATTAAAAAGACTGGAAAATGTCGGTATCAGAGGCACTCAACTCAAACTATTCAAAAGTTATCTTTCTGAGAGATATCAATGCGTTAGTGTAAATAATATTAACGCGTAGTTAGCGTTAGTGTAAATAATATAACCAGCAATGATTCACTAGTAACACACGGCGTACCACAAGGAAGTATACTCGGCCCAACCTTATTTCTTATTTATATTGATAATTTTACAAAATTTAATCTCTCTCAGGGACATATAATTTCATATGCAGATGACACTGTTTTATTATTATTATTATTACTTGCTTATGTACTTATTTATAAACTAAATGATAAAGTTGCTTATGTACTTTATTATTTACTTATCTAATTGATTAAACACTTATTTATATACTAACTTATATACTTGCTTATATACTAATATACTATTTACTTACTTATTGCTTACTTATATACTAACTTATATATATGCTTATATACCTGCTTATATCCTAACTCTTATACTTACTTATATACTTGCTTATATACTTAATTATATATCTTTTTACATACTTGCTTATATACTTACTTATATATTGCTTATATACTTCCATATATACTTACCTATATACTCACTTATATATTGCTTAATACTTACGTGTGTACTAACTTATATATCTACTTATATGCTTGCTTATATACTTTGCCAATATACTCGCTTATATACTTGCTTGTAAACTTACTTATATACTTGCTTATATACTTGCATATATACTTACTTATATATTCAATTTTTTTATATACTTGTTTATATACTTTCCTATATAATTGCCTATATTTTAAGATATATACTTACTTAAATACTTCCTTATGTGTCTTTTTATATACTTGCTTATATACTTACTGATATAAATGCTTATATACCTACTAATATACTTGTCTATATACTAACATATATACTTACTTATATATCTCTTTATTTATTGCTTATTTACTGACTTATGTACTTACTATATACTTGCTTATACACTTTCTTATATATTTACTTATATACTTGCTTTTATACTTGCTTATATACTTCTTATATACCTACCCATATACTTTCTTATTTATTGCTTATATACTTGCTAATTAACGTGCTTATATATTTGCTCATAAATTGTAAAATTGCTTATATACTTACTTATAAAATTGATTTAATGCTTTCCTATATACTTAAATAAATACTTACCTATATACTTCCTTATACTTCTTTTTATATACTTGCTAATATACTTGCTTATATACTTGCTGATATACTTGCTAATATTATTGCTGAAATACTTACTTATACACTTTCTTATATATTGCTTATATACCTGCTTATATACTTGCTTATATACTTACTTATATAATTGCTTATATATTTGCTTATATACTTGCTTTTATACCTACCTATATAATTGCTTAAATACTTAATAAAATACTGACTTATATACTTGTTCTTTTACTTGCTTGTATACTTATTACTATATACTTGCTTATATACTTACTTATATACTTGCTGATTAACTCGCTCATACGCTTATATATACCTTCATTTATACTTCCAGATTTTCGGGAATAGAAATAAGAAACATACCTAAAAACAATGAAGAATCAAAAGAAAATCTATGTAGCACTGTTAAAAAATTAAGGGAGTGTTTGAATGTAAATTTGCAGGATTTGGACATAAAAGACGTGTATAGAACTAATTCTAAGACGGGGACTAGACAGATAATAGTGGAATTTAATTCTGTCATTATTAAAGAAAAGACGTTACATGAAGTAAAAAAAATTAATATACTTTCTTATATATACTTTCTATATACTTTCTTATTTTCTATATACTTTCTTATATATATACTAACTTATATACTTGCTTATATACTAATATACTATTTACTTACTTATATGCTTACTATTTATGTACTAACGTTTTCTATATACTTTAGTTTTCTATATACTTTCTTATATATTGCTTATATACTTGATAATTTATGTGCTTATATATTTGCTCACATAATTGTTAAATTGCTTATATACTTACTTATAAAATTGATTATATACTTTCCTATATTCTTAAATATATACTTACCTATATACTTCCTTATATTTTTATATACTTGCTAATATACTTGCTTATATACTTATTTATATACTTGCTTTTATACTTGCTTATATATTTGCTCATATACTTGCTGATATATTTGCTAATATTATTGCTTATATACTTACTTATATATTTTCTTATATATTGCTTATAAACCTGTATATATTCTTGCTTATATACATACTTATATACTTGCTTTAATAACAACGTACATTAATACTTACATACAATCTTACTTATATACTGACTTATAAACGTGCTTATGTACTTGCTTATATACTTTCTTATATACCTACTCATATACTTACTCACATACTTGCCTATATACTTGCATATATACTTACCTATAATTTACTTTTACATCTTTTTATATACTTTCTTATATACTTGCTTTTCTACTTACTTATATAATTTCTTATATACTTACTTATATACTAGCTTATATACCTACTTATATTCTTGCCTATAAATATATATATATATATATATATATACTTACCTATATACTTACTTCTACATCTTTTTATATACTTGCTTATTTACTTGCTTATATGCTTGCTTATATACTCACTAATATATCTACCTATATGCTTGCGTATATACTTGCCTATATACTCACTTATATACTTGCTTGTATACTTGCTTATATACTTGCTTATATACTTGCTTGTATACTTGCTTGTATACTTGCTTATATACTTGCTTATTTACTTACTTATGAACTTAATATATACTTGCTTATACACTTGCTTATATATTTACTTATATACTTGCTTATATACTTCTTATATTCTTACTTATATACCTACCTATATACATTCTTATATATTGCTATATACTTGCTATTTTACGTGCTTATATATTTGCTCATATAATTGTAAAATTGCTTATATACTTACTTATAAAATTGATACTTACCTATATACTTCCTTAGACATCTTTTTATATACTTGCTAATTAACATGCTTATATACTTATTTATATACTTGCTTTTATTCTTGCTTATATAGTACTTACTTATATACTTGCTTATATACTTGCATATATATTTTCTTAAATATTTACTTATACATCTTTTTTATAAAATTGATTATATACTTGCCTATATATTAACATATATACCTACTTATATACTTACTTATTTATCTTTTTATATACTTGCTTATATACTTATAAAATTGCCTATATACCTACTTATATACTTGTCTATACACATATATACTTACTAATATATTTTTATATACTTTCATTATACTTACTTATATACTTGTCTATACGCTAACATATATACTTAATAATATATTTTTATATACTTGCATTATACTTACTTATATGTCTTTTTATATACTTGCTTATATACTTACTTATATATTTGCTTATATACCTACTTATATACTTGTCTATACACTAACATATATAATTACTAATATATTTTTTTATATACTTGCATACTATACTTGCATAGTATACTTACTTATATACTTACTTATTTATCTTTTTATACACCTGCTTTT